CCCCCCCCCAGCCATGTAAAAACTGCTAAGCCACCTAAGAGTAAAACTCATGCCACTGATCACTGCATGAGCACGCGCGCCGCGGGAGAGTGTCTTTGTTAAATGGAACTACAAATAGCCAGATAACCGCAGCTAGGCAGTGATCTCAAGGCCAGCCTGTGGCAAACAACACAAAATAACAAATAATGCGGCAAACTATACAATCTATATTCAAAATGCTAAAAGGAAGAAAAAACAATTTGTTTATCAAGAATCCCATGTTCAACAAACTGCCTTTTAAAAATGAACTGTGTGGCGGCGGCACATGCCTTTAATCCCAGAACTTGGGAGGCAGAAGCAGGCTGATTTCTGTGAGTTCGAGGCCAGCCTGGGCTAAATAGTGAGTTCTAGGACAGCCAGGGCTGTTACTCAGAGAAACCTTGTGACGGGGGCGGGGGAGAGTGAAGGAGAATCTGAATTCCATGGCTTTAATTCCAGCACTCCAGAGACTGAGGCAGGTATATTTTTATGAGTTCAAGGACAGCCCGGTCTACTTCTTGAGTTTTGGATCAGAGACTGTCATAAATAAATAAATAAATAAATAAATAAATAAATAAATAAATAGATAAATAAATAAGAAAGAAAAAAAACGAGAATCCTTTCAGTTACCAAAAGAGAACAGGAATGTCTATTTGAATATCAGTCAAAATGACTTTATTTTATTATTATTTTTTTAATGTGCTTGGGTGTTTTGCCTGTGTACCCTGTATGCCTGGTTTCCAGTGGAGGCCAGAAGAGAGTCAGCCACCACCTTTCCTGAACTGGAAAGACAGGCAGATTTCTGTGTGTTGAAAGGCAGCCAGGGTTACATAATGAGACCCTGCCTCAAAACTAAAAGAACAAACATAAAGAAACAAAAACCTTCGTTTAACTTAAGACATTATTTTATTATTTTTTTGTGTATGACTTACTATTTTTTGTGTATGAGTGTTCTGCCTACACGTGTGCCTATACATCCATCATGTGCTTTCCTGGGGCCCCCAGAGACATACAACGCATCAGTTCTCCTGAAACTGGAGTTACAGACAGTTGTGAGCAACCATGTGGGTACCAGATATCCAGTCCTGGTCCTCTGCAAGTTGTGGTGTTTGAATATCCACAGGGAAAGATCAGAGACTTAGACCCAATTCAGATTTAGATTAGATGCATTTATTCTTTTGTTGTTGTTGTTGTTTTGTTTTTGTTTTTGTTTTTGTTTTTGTTTTTGAGACAGGGTTTCTCTGTGTAGCTTTGGAGGCTGTCCTGGCACTCGCTCTGGAGACCAGGCTGGCCTTGAACTCACAGAGATCTGCCTGCCTCTGCCTCCCGAGTGCTGGGACTAAAGGCGTGTGCCACCAACGCCCGGAAGATGCGTTTATTCTTACTGCAAGCAGAAGGACAGCAGCCTTACAGCCACTGCAGCATGCCACGCAGAAGTGGAGGTTAAGGCGGTACTAAGGGCAGACATCAGTAAGGTATGCACTACAGATATCCATGGAATTCACAGCTGGTCAGGAAAATGGTTTTACTTCCCCCAGTCGTCTTTTCCTTCCCGCTACACGGTAATAAAAGTCCATTTCATTCCCTTCTCCGTAGGATAAACAGGCTTTACAGAAGCAAAGGCAGCTGTTACTACCTCACGGCCCATTATCCTACTATTACCATTATTTTGTTTTTTCAAGACAGGGTTTCTCTGTGTAGCCCTGGCTGTCCTGAAACTCACTGTGTAGACCAGGCTGACCTAGAACCTGGAGATCTACCTGCCTCTGCCTCCCAAGTGCTGGGACTAAAGTTCTGGCTCCATTATCCTATTTTTATCTCACCTGCAGGCAACTAGGATCTCCCAGGCATTCCAGAGAAAAAAGTCAATGGCCTGGCCTGTAAGGGATGCCTGATCCATACTAAGTTTCTTAGTTAGTGCAGGGGACCTATGTAAATTATTACTCATGTCTGAGCACTCTCATAACAAGGACAGAGTATTTCATTTCTGGGCAGGTAAGGACACAGTGCCATCAGGTTAGGGCTGGCTGTCACATCCTTACAAAATCATCTTACCAGTCCCCTCCTTTTTTTTTAAGAGGGGGGGATGACGAGGGACAGAGAAAGGGGATTAGATCAATATGACACTGTTAGAGAGAATAGAAGGGTCCGATAGCCCCAGGTCTGTCTTTGGGGTGCTGACAAGAGTGGTACATTTGAATAGAAAAATAAAATAAACAAGGTACAAAACCCGTGAATGACTGATGTCTTGGTCAAGTGTTGTCTGGTTGATCACTGTCTCTGATATGGTTCCAAAGAATCCCTGTTGCTTGATGGAAGGGATTGACTGCCAGGAAGCAATGGGTGTGCTCCAGCACATAGCCTCGCCTTCATCTGAGGGTGGTCCTAGCAGGCTCTGCAGTTCTCGGAATCCAAGGTGACTGCAGAGTTAAGACAAGGACTGATTTCTGTGCTTTGATGTGCTTCTATAAGGATGCTAACAGGCAACCCAAAGGTAAAGACAGACACAACAACAGTAGAGATCAGGCTCATCTTGCCCACACCTCTGAGTTGAAGAAAATATAGAAATGTACCAAAGACTGTTAGCAATTTTTTCCTATGCAGCATCTTGAGTTTTCACTGCAATATAATTATTTTATTAAGAAAAAATGTTTTCGCAAGACAAAATACCGGGGTGGTGGTGGCGTACACCTTTAATCCCAGCACTGGAGAGGCAGAGGCAGGCAGATCTCTGTGAGTTCAAGGCCAGCCTGGTCTACAGAGTAGGTTCCAGGATAGGCTCCAAAGCTACCCATAGAAACTCAACCCCTCCCTTCCAAAACAGACAAAATAGAGAGAAATCATCACATAAAAGGAAGTTATAAAAGTTGCACATATAGCCGGGTGTTGGTGGTGCACGCCTTTAATCTCAGTACTCAGGAGGCAGAGGCAGGAGGATCTCTGTGAGTTTGAGACCAGCCTGGTCTACAAGAGCTAGTTCCAGGACAGCTTCCAAAGCCACAGAGAAACCCTGCCTCGAAAAACCAAAAAGTAAAAAAAATAAAAGTTGCACATATAGAATGTATTTTTATTAAAGAAGGTTAAAAAGGAAAGAGAATTCTTCTAATGGTTACATGGTAAATTAGTTTTGTTTGAGGGTAAATGATTGTTTCAAGAGGAAATAGAAATGAGGACAGAAACTAGAAGTCTAAGTGTATTACAAAAGGTGTCCATAAGACACAGAAATTGCGTGAGATATAATATAATATAAAGATGCTGGTTAGTATCTTAACACAAACTGGAGTGACCCACGAAGAGGGAGCCTCACTTGAGAATTGCCTCCATCAGATCAACCTGAGGACAAGTCTGTGGGGCATTTTCTTTCTACTTTTTTGAGACAGGTTCTCACTCTGTAGTCTTGGATATCCTGGTACTCACAGAGATCTATATGCCTGCCTCTGCCTCCCAAGTGCTGGGATTAGGAGCATGTGCCACCAAGTTTGGCTCTGCACTTTCTTGCTTAATGATTGATATGGAAGGGCCCAGCCTACTGTGGGCAGTGCTATGCCTGGGCAGGTGGTCTTGTGTTGCATAAGAAAGACTGAGCAAGTCTTAAAAAGCAAGCCAGTAGCAGCATTCCTTCATGATCCGTGCTTTAGTTCCTGTCTTCAGGTTCCTGATTTGGCTTCCCTCAATGAATGAAAAATAGATCTATAAACCAAATAAACCCTTTCCTCCCCAAGTTGCTTTTGGTCATCCTGTTTATTAAGGCAACAGAAAGCAAATGAGGACAGATGGTATTGAAGGGATCAGCTCCCCATTTCGGCAGCCATGGCAGCCTAACACGCATTTGCCTGACCTTGCCTTGATCACTAGGAGGTCACTAGGTTTCTTGTGGTAAGGAACCAATCAGAAGTTAGCTAGTGGTGCTATGCTTTACAGCTCTGGGTGTGCTTTACGGACAAGTGCACAGCAATGACATGCAGAGCATAGCAATCAACCTGGGAGGGCCTATGGGCCATAACAACCAGTTGGCAAGCCCTGCAAGCCTAGAGGCGCACCAATCCTGAGCCTGTGCATAACCCTAGACACTCCCCTTACGCTGCCCTATAAGATCTCTATGCCATGGTTTCTTGGCATCTTTCCTAGCCATCCACCATGATGGGTGGATGAAAGGCCCAAGCTAACATGGGGTTAGCTCATTAAACAACTGCAATAAAACCTCTTGCTGTTTGCATCAAGTTTTTGGACTCCACCTAGTGATTGGGGTTGTTGAGGTCCTGGGCTGAGATCCTGGGCGCCTGAGCCTCCAGGGGTCTTTCAGTATGTATATGATTGAGTTCACTGTAGTCAACGATCTTGTTTCCTAAGGGTAGGGTTTGCTGGGTGCTTATTTCATCAGGTTTGTTTGTTTTTTCCTTCAAGACAGACTTTCTTTGCCCTGGCTGTTCTGGGACTCCTTCTGTAGACCAGGCTGGACT